TGCCCGCTGCCTGCTGTTTAATGTGTGTGTAATTGTGAAAACGCTTTGCCATCCTTTTCCTTATGTAGCTAAGCAGCAGCAGCAGCAGTAGCAGCAGTAGCAGCAGCCTCTGCCCCTTCCCCTTCCCACCCACTCCTATGCTGCTTGTCATGTCATGTAGGCGTTTAAGTGGCAGCAGCAGCAGCAGCGGCTGCCTCTGAGGTTTTTTGCATTTTACCTACCCGCGCCACTGAAAATGTCAAGACAACAACTGACAGCCGCCCCTAAATCAAAGTACCCAACCAAAGACCTCTTACTCTTCCTCTCTCCCCCTCTCTCTGTCGCTCGCTCGGCCTCCCACTCATGCAGCAGCGGACGTCGCATTGATTTGCTTTGATTTATTGTGCTGCCAAACAATGCAGCGACGTTTCCCAGACCCGGCTCAGATATTGCTGCTGTTGCTGCTGCTGCTGCTGCTGCTGCTGCTGAGGGGTTGCCTGCAACAACAGCAGCAACAACAACTTGCACTCGAGCTGAGCTTCAAGCACAATTCATAACGTTGCTTTCGTACTAATTACAAAAAGTGCTGCCTGCCCTCGCCCTCTCTCCCTCTCGCTCATCTGCTGACCCGCTCTCTCTCTCTCCCTCTCTCTGTGTCTCCTGCTCTTTCGCTGACAGCTGCCATGCGACAAAATAAAAAAATATACGTCGACCGTTCGACTCACTTCAGAAAACAGCTTGAGACAATGCCGCATGCAAAAATTCTTCACGACTGCCAAAGGAGTACGAGTATTTATGCATTATAATACACACACACACACACACACGCATACTTACGCCCCAGGGCTGGAATCTGTTTCTGTTTGGAAAAGTGCGCGCTTTTTGACATGTGCCGCGCGCACGACTCACACACACACACACACAGAGCAATTGAGAGCGTGGTTGCAAGCTCGCGCTGCTCGGGTTAGCCGGCGAGTGGTATTTGACTTGGTTGCGCATTGTAAAGCACTGAAGTGCTTCTCTGTGCGTGTGTGTGTGTGTGCCAGCGATAGTTGCAACAATTGCTGAAGAGAGCATGCAGCAAAAGGGGGAAAAAAAATAAAATAAAAAGAATAAATAAATGCATAAGAAAATAAGCAACAAGAGCTCAATTGCCCCGCGGCTGATCCTTGAGAGAAACCTTTGAGTCCTGAGCCCGCAGCTTATGATGCAGAATTAAGCATGCAATTAATGCAGGCTAACAAAAAATTGTTCAATACACAGAGCTTTTAAGCCTTGAGCTTTCAGCAGCTTTCTGAAATGAGTAAGCTAATGAAGCAACTGAAAGAGAATGCATATTATTT